CAAAAGTATATCAATTTATATATACCGTTCTGTGCGGAGCACAGTAAATACAACGAATTAATATACATATACTCCATCTCTGGGCAATTTGTTCGTGTATTTTGTCTCATGACATCACAGGATGACCAAAACACGGTAATAAATACGTACGAAGTAAATTTTCTCTTATTTTAGCATAGAAATAAACTAAAGTAATTCATTGTGATACGTGATTTTTCTCATATCATTCTGATGTATTTGTGTGAAAATTAGAATGGATCCGATTTGTGAATAGTTTGGAAAATGTTCTCTAAGATTGATTTTTAGCGAAAGTAGGAGCGGTGAGGGAGCTCACGATTACTATAAGCTTCGAGTAGAGTCGAGTCGAGTCGAGTCAATTGAATTGGCTTGCGATGTGATAAAATGAAAAGATTTATGTGAACTAATTTAATAAATCGGTCTTTTTTTCTATGAATAGTCAGGAAAAATGAAGACAAATTAAGTGTACGCTATAAAATTGCTGTACGAAAATTGTAAGATGTTTCGAACAGGGCACAAAAAAAATGCAACAGAGAAACAGTGTAATGGCCAGTTTTGAGCTGAAAGTTAACAGGCAATACAGTTTTTCGTATTCTATATATATATCACACATCATTACAAAAGGTTACACAATTCCGAGCTCATTCAATATAATCAATTTTCTCGAACGACGTACGGTCGTTCATGCATTTGTATCTCGTTTCCAATGCTTTATCTTGAATTGCTGTATCGCCTACTATGAAGACTTTTTTTCGTCACTTTTTGCTTGGAACATATACACTACGTTGTCAGAGTGGAATCGATGATCCTTTGAACGAATCGAGCGACAAATGGGAACGTGACCGTTGAATACTCATACGTTAGGAGAATCGGTGACTGAGTGGAATTGCATACAATTTCCACACGCGACTTCAATATCATCTTACAATTTCACTATTCGCATTCCTTCACTTTTATTTTGTCTGCTCTTTGCTACATCCACGATGTTATAACCAAATAATCAGGATTTATTGCATTAAATATCCAGTTTAATACCATATATCGTACGTACTTTGTATATCAATTGGTTTCGCATTCCTGGCTCTTCCTTATATTCGCGCAGACGACCGGATTATTTTACGAGCGAAGAGACGTGAATGGGAACGGCATGCTGTCGCATAGTTGCGTTCGCACTAGCGGCAGACAAACACAGATATTTGGCTTGATCCATTGAGTGCGTGTGCCCCTTTATTGGAATCGGTTGCTAGATGCAACGGTATTTATATTATTCTTATATCTCGAATGCATTTTTTTCAAAAGACTCAATTATCTGTGCTGTGTGCTTCCTGCGTTGGCAGCCCACCACATTCGGTAATGCGAGAGCATTTTTTTTCCACTCGCAAGATAAAGTGGAGATTTTTTCTGCATCTACCATTACATGTTCGCAAAATGTTCGTGAACACTTTGGTTTGGCTGCTGCGCGCATTGTAGTAGTTGTAGTATCAACAATTGAATGAAAATGGAGAGAAAATGTGCATACATTTGGATTAATTATCGCAGACAAAATGAAATATGCATATAATAACAGCATAAGTGATTTCGGAATTCAAGTCGTTGAAAATACGACTTTTGACAAATTAAAGCGGCCAATTTCTTGTGCTCGAGCCGTATGCAATCTTTCGGTTGAACCGTTTCAAGTCCCAAAAATGACAGATGAGAATGCCTCTGGGCTTTCAGGCTAATTCTTATTTTAGAACACACAGCTGATTCCAAGATTCAATCCAATCCATAATTCGGTGGCTGGGTATTTTGTATGTGAGTGAAATTGCGGTCATTCGTCTTGACTGACACGATATAACTTCTCTCTAATTCATTTTCACCCCCATTGTATTCGCATAAATGTTGATGCCGTTTCATTGTTGTGTATGTGTATGTGTTGCTGTATGTGCTTCTTTATTTTCAACTTGCAGCGTGCAAGAGCACAAAGGACGACAAGTTAAATAGCATGAATCATAGCTAACTTTTCATCAGGCGCATTCGCTGCCATCAAGCGACATAAATTCACCGAAACGGACGCATACATGTGCCTCTGCATATTGGACATGATGAATAGCACACTTGGAACGAAATTCGTAGAATAAAATCCATCAAAATAATTCGTGTACATTACACGAATTCTCTTCGTGAAGCAATTATTGTTATATTCTATCTGTGGTCCACTATTGTTATGATTATTTATGGCAACTCCTCGAAAATATTTTCGGAATTCTCGGACGCAAACATTCACACAATAATCGAATGTCGTGACGTGTGCGAAGACAAACGAAAAACACTCGACTTATGAAAGACCAGCGAGTGTCATATTCAGTGGGAGAGAAAAAGGGTCGCAAAACCATGTCATTTGCACATACAATGCTGAAAATTAACTTTAAGTGCGTGTCATCATTACATTTATCGGTACGTATTATTACGAAAACTTGACGGCCATTATCGAAGGACGTCGGTGAATTAGATTTCACCACAGGATCTACGAGCAATCGCCACATTGCATACTGCAGAAAATGGAAAAAAGTAATAGGCAAAAAAATCTTCACCAACATTACTCAACGGGCTGGGCTGTATGTTCGCACAGAGACTAGTTTCCAATGGTCATAAAATCTACTCTTTGCTTGTGACTTTTTTTTTATGACAAAATAAAATAAAACAAAACAAATGCTTGTCAAATGAGACATTAGTGGTGAATCAAGTGAGACAAATCTGGGGAGACAAAAAGTTGTCAAACTGTTAATTGAGTACGTTTGACAAAATCTGGCCACTTTGAAATGGGAATAAAACTTTATTAACTTTTCGCAATTATTAACACATTGCAAACAAAAGAGATCATGTATGGCTGGCGCTGAGCAGCAATATATCGCTCATATAAAATGCAAAGTGAATTAATTAATTTGTATAGTTTCTCAGTGCGTGGATGTGTGTGTTCACTGTTCACGTCATACTGTGAATTTTACACCACAAACTGATATAATTATGTTTCAAAGTGTAATTAAAAGTCAAATTTTTGATTTACATTGTACATTTAAATTGGATGAAAAAAAAAAATATCGTATGGCTTTTACCATGGCTGTGATGGAATCTCGCTGGCACACATATATAGATCGAGTGGCTGAGTGGTACAAGTTCTGAGATATCAAAATACAATATTAATCTCAGTTCGCATAGAGGTAAACATGCCGAGTAAAACCATCCGAAAACAAAAGCAAATATCCAATGGATGATGATGATAGCAACGGCTGCTGCCGTTGCTGCTGCTGCTGCTGCAAAAACCATTCATACGATATTCCTTGCTCATGAAAAACTTTTATCATCGATTCACAACATTTTCGTAACAACAACAGGTGGCATACAAAATATTTTTCATCTGTGATAAATTGTTTAAAACTCGTTTATGAGTATATAGTTCGGTAGTTCGTCTGCGCCCGTACTTCAGTGGTGTATTTCCACACACAGTCGAAAGAAGTAAAAAATAAAATACGGAAAACATGTGTTGATGGCTGGTATTTGTAACATCACCCGAAAAACCATTTGTTACATCTAGCACTAGTAGCCAAGATACCGGTATGGAATTGCACTGAGCACCACTGAGGCAGAGATACAGGGTGAGATTGCACACAAGAGCATCTTCATTTGATGCGAAGAATGAAATGAAGTTATGCATTCAGACGAACGGGCCACCCAGTAAATGTGTTGCGCTAAATAAACAGTTTGCTTGTCATTCGAGGAAAATGCACACTATACTACCGCAATGATAAAGTTAAGTTGGTAAATGTTTGTTTAACTAAATTTCTGTGTGTTTATGCACACTCCCAACCAATTGAAACTATGGTGCGAACTGAGATTTAAATTTTATAGTCAAATATTAACCAAAAAACAACAGCCAAAGTAGCAGATTAAACACAATCTTAGCTTTAAGCTGCACGATATACTTAACGCCAACAGAAAACACAGACACACACACATACACACACATAGTGGCCGATGAGCGTGTGCTGAGACTCGTGCACGTGCAAAGGAGCTCTTGTTATTTGATTTGGATGTAGCGAAGTGAATTTATGACTAACGAAATAAAAAAATTCTCGAATTCATACCGCAGCTATTGTTGATAATTAATTTTTGTGTGTATGAGTGTGTGTAGTATATTATCGCTTTGTTTGTACTCTGCATTCGCACTGTATCAGCTCCTGTTGAATGCATTGCATAAAAAAGTATGCATTTCAATCGATGTGCGCATTTATACACAAGTTCTATCGTTGCAATTGCGCTATGCATAGATAATCATTGGCGCGGAAAAAAACAACATTAGAAATCCAATGTAAATGATCGAGTAAAACGTGAAATAATGCATCATAAACGCTCCTTAAACTCACATCTAATTCAACTTTGATATGAATAAATTATCATCAATTTCCACAAGGAAAACTTTAACTCATTCGCTCATGGCTGCAATAATAATTAAAACTTTGAAATTAAAACGATAAAATATTTATCATTCGGATCAATGGAATGAAAAGTGAATCGAATTTGACCAAAGGCAAAATTAGCCTTATTTCCCTTGTTTAATCGATTTCCCTTATGATATTCGTGTAATGTATATATTTTTTGTCTGTCTTGTCGCAGCAAGAGATCTTGATTCAACTGCTTTTTGCGATTTACTGTAAATGCAGTATGTGTGACGAAAAAGTTTGGCATTCGGAAAAACGCTTTGACACAACGGACAAAATTGTTGCTGCTATAAAGTTTAGCAAATCTTGATTAAAGATACTTTTGTAATTAATTCAATTTTGATGCATTGAATTTCTACATTCACAAATTATTATGAAACACAAATTTGATTGCATTGAAAAGTTTCACGCTAGTTGCAATGCATAAATATATATTAAATACCCGGCAAAATTGACGATTAAAGAAGGGAAATTTGTCATTACAAACAATTGTTTTGCTTTCGATAAGTTTCAAAAAGGCCAAGAATTTTAACTGCAAAACTTGTTTCGTTGTTGGTGGAGGGGTGAGGCGCGTCGTGGTGGTTTCCCGCTCTCTACACAAACTGAAAGAATGACAAAATTTCAATTATTTCGCTTGTCACGACTTTATAATCGGATTGAAGCGTACCTGCTAATAGCTGCAATTCAAATAAATTTACTGTTCATATTTTATGAGCACAAATAACTTTTATTTTGTCAACCAGACAGTTCATATATTCCGATGCATATTTTTTGTAGTTTTCCGCGTACTTTTTCTTCGTCAACTCTAACCATGCCGCAGTTGTCGTCATCTTCGTATCCCTTTCGATTTGTTTGCCGTTTCTCATGTTCAGACATTCAAAACGTATTCCGTAAGAAGTTAATTTAAGTTTTTCAACTTGAATAAAAAAAAAATCGTGAACTTATAAAAATATTTTGACAAGGGAAAAAAACGAAAACATATTTTATTGTTATCATTGCCGACTTGTTATATTTTATTTATTTATTCTTTTTTGCTTTCTGTTTTTATTCTCTTTCGTCATTTGAACGCAGTACACAACTAATACTGCCAGTGAATCGGCTTCAATAGATTTTTGATAGAACAGTTTTGAAGTTTTAAATCCATAAATATTGTATAAATTTGCTATTTATTGCAAAACTTTGATAATCTCCCCTCCAACGATTTGTGGTTGCGATTCCATTTTGGTTGTGGCGTTTCAAAAGAATATTTTTTATGAAGACAGCTAATTTTCAACTGGAAATGTCCTGTCATTCAAACTAGTCATGGTTGAAACAGACTTGAAAGATGTGTTCATAAGCGGTTCGGTTTCGAAAACGACTTCGATGAAATCTTCCAAAACAGTGCCAGATTTCCGATATCAATATTTAAGTCACTGTGATATAAACACATATTTGGATACGCTACAAGCAAAATACCCACATTTGGTCAAAATCAAAACAATTGGCTATTCTTTTGAAAGACGCGCACTAAAATCCATTCATATATCAACATCAATGATGACAAAGGTCAATGAGTTGGAGCCGGTGAATAAGAAAGCAAAATCAACCCTGAATGGCATCAACAGATCCAAGTCGGCATTGAAACGAAAGCAAGTCGTGCTAATTGATGGGGGAATGCATGCTCGTGAATGGTGCACAATTTCAACAGCTCTCCACTGTGCCAGTCAATTAACCGACAATTTTGACGAGAATAAAAATTTACTCGAAATTTTTGATTTTGTTATTGTACCTTGTGTCAATATCGATGGATACGAATTCTCGCGTTGCTATGTTCGTTCATTTGTCATTAGATTTTAAATTCTAGCTTTAATTTTTCATTTCAATTTCGAGAATTTTAGAAGAAGATGTGGCGAAAGTCTCGGAGACCGATTGAATTCTCCAAATTCATTGGTGTGGATTTTAATCGAAATTTCAGTGTTGGGTGGGAAACAGCATCACAAAAAACATCGAGTTGTACATACCGCGGTGAAAAACCATTTTCAGAGCCGGAAACTAGGATCATCAAGCGTCTCATGCATTCACTGAAACCAACATTTTACCTAACACTCCACTCATTCAGCAAATCAATCATGTTTCCATATGCATTTACAAGGTAACGTGGATTTGTTTTTTTTTTTTTGCAAATATGTTTATTCTTTCCGATCAATGTTTGTATTTGACCAAACAATCGCTTTCAGCATGTTACCCTACAACTGGATGAGTCTTCATAGTTTGGCTAAAGCAGCCGGACAAGCAATACAAAAAGAGACGGGTACAAAGTTTCGCATTGGCAGCGTAGCTTCGATAATAAAAAATGCCAAGGCAAGTGGCGGAGGAAGTGTTGATTACGCCCATAAAACGGCCAAAATACCATTTGTCATTGTTATGGAGTTATCAGGAGGTAGCTTTCAGTAAAAACAGAATATTTCCAATAATGTCCATATTATATCATTACAATTTAGGTAGCTTCCAGCCACCGGCCATAGCTATTAATGGCGTCCTATTGGAAAGTTGGATTGGAATTCACGCTATGTGCTCATTCTTGAAAAATAGAAATAAAATTTAAAGATAAATTAAATAAAAACCAATTCATTTTGAATTAATATGAAATATCAATTCAATGCCGACAACATAGGTGGCGTTCTTGATATATCTGTGCCAGAACGAAAAAAAATGCAACGAAGAAAATAAATTAAATTGATTTTCTAAAATGCGATCATAGTTTTCATACAGGGAGTTGCACATTTCTGTGCTAATCTCTCTATCACAGATTCCTCGTCTCAAGAGAAGTGAAGGAAGTACATTAGCATTACGAAACCATATCGCACTTTGGATCAAAATCCGCTGTTTCTACGGCAATGGCCAATTGTAAACCAATTGCCGCGAATAAACTCATGATTGTCATCTTTAAAAACATGTCTAGCTCTCTTCTACAGGTGCGAAAACTCCCTTTTTTGACGGTTCTCGCAGAGAAGTTCTCTCTAATCGGTGACTCAGAAGATATAGATGATATCACTTTTTATCATATTCAATTACAGTTGATTTTTATCTTTCGGTCGAAAAAGCATTTGTTGTTTCATTATTGCTTCGTCAAGTTGGTTTCTTATTTACCATAGTTGGAACCCGTTACAAAAAATTGTAAACTTGTAAATTGTAAATATGATTGGGTATTAATTTGCTCCCTGCAAAAGCATAAAAGAGAATTATTCATTGTAAAGTATATTCAAGAAAAACGTAAAAGTAAAGCTCTTGTTTTTGAAGACATTATACTATAGAGAGAAAAAAAAAACAAGCAAAAGAACAGTCCAAATTCTAACCGTTCGTGTTGTTCAATGCAAGCGAGGAAAATGCACTTCATGCCGAGAAAATAGATGGCAGTCATGATGCATGGAAATAGGCCTAAAACAGAATTGCTTACAATCTAGTTGACAACGCTCGAAAAATGTCATTGACTTGTGCTTGTATACAAACAAAGGGGCACCATCTTACACCAAAACACTCATAAAAGATACCTCATTCATGTGTTAATTGTTTTTTGTTGGTCAATTGCAATCCGGTGTGAAAATGTTTTTGTGGTGCAGTTTTAAATAAGTCGGTAACCTGATTGGTTGGTATTTGAGTTGTTCACATGGCACAAATTCAAACTTTCGTTTTTTTTGACACCGAAGCAACCGGATTACCATGTTACGATGTACCAAAAATAACTGAGTTGGCTATGATAGCTTGTTCACGGGAACATTTACTTGAAGCTGCCAAGAACAAAGTTCCTCGTGTTATATCTAAACTGTTGTTGCCGTTTAATCCGTGTAAAAATATTCACCCCGATTCGACTGAAATTACGGGTGAGCTATTAGAAGCAAATTTTTAGTTCAGAGAATGGAAGAGAGCTAGAATGCATGCAAGCGTTTCGACCAATAGTGGAATAGGCACCTCTTAGTTGATTGAATTGAGTAGTTTGGAGCGAAAATGTTATACAGAAAAGTTGAGCGGAAAAATGTCGATGATGAATGAGCGGAAAAGAGATAGCTATATAGTAAACTGTATAGTAAACTATGGTGAACTACGGCAGCGTGCAAAGTAATTCTGTCACCTGAGGCAAATTTTCAAAATGTCGCCCTTTAAATTTTCAAGCAAAAGTTCTTTACCTAAATTACTGCATAACGGCAGTGACTTTTTTTCGTTTTCCAAGAAAAGGATCTGTAATGCTATTTATGTCATTACCACACTCAAGACATATTGAGCATTCGTAATCATAAGAATATTTAAGCATGGAACATATGAAAATTAAACCATAAAAGTAACGCGAGCGAAGCGAGTAGTAGTATTCAATGAATACTATTTTTCAATTTGGCTTATTAAATATCTTTCTTTTCCGATTTTATTTAACTTTTTTTCAGTTATTTATGACTCAAATCAAAAAGCACTCTCTTGCAGCGGCAATGAAAACTGACGCCCCTACTTCTCTTGTCAAATTTGAATTCAAAATAACTAAAAAAAATCATTTGGCGGTCGAGCGCCTTTGGCGCTGATAATATCTCCCCACAAATTTTTACCCAACAAATTTTTCGCCCCTCTTGAAATGTCGCCCTAGGCATTTGCCTCATTTGCCTAGTACTTTGCACGCCGCTGGTGAACTATATAGCTATCTTTTTTCATTTGACATTTTTCCTCTCAACTTTTCTGTATTACATTTTCGATCCAAACTACTCAATTATGGTTCTATTGAAAGTCATCAATTTGAAATTAAAGAGATAAGAATCAAGATTGGACTGTCCCATACATTCATGAAGAAATTACGTTCCAACCAGAAAAAAAAGCTAGAATAACGAAATTCCATGAACTACTTTCATTCTAATTTATTGTTCCCTTCCACCAACAGGTCTGGATAATTTTATGTTAGACAAAACTAAAAAATTGGATGACAATACAGTAAATCTCATCAATTGCTTTTTCAGCCAATTGAATGCGCCAATCTGTTTGGTAGCACACAATGGAGACCGTTTTGATTATCCTCTCCTGAAGAGGCAGCTGAAACAACTGGTAATTATTCAATCAAATTTTGAATGCAATTTCGGTTTTAATCGTTAATAACTTTTGCAGAGTGTTCCGTTCAATGAACATATCTTATGTGTCGATTCTTTGACTCTCTTCAAAAAAATTGAGGAAAATGCAACATCCGCTGGATCAGCGTTGGAAGAGTTTGTAAATACGGATTTACAAGCTGTTCAGAAAAGAAATGAGAAAACACCATCCAAGGGGGTCTCATTTGCCCTAATATCAAGAAATCCCTATGAAAAACCGAGTGCAGCAAGACGACTTTTTGCATCCCAATCCAACTCATCTAGCGCATCTAATGTTCATCCTGGTAATAGCCTATCGTCGACCAAAAAATCTTATAAACTTACTGAGATTTATAAAAGACTGAATGAACGCACACCTGATGTCGCACACAATGCAGAAGCTGATACCATAACTATGCTACTATGTGCAATCGCTGTGAAAGACGAATTTGTTCAAATGGCTGACTCCATGGCTATTCGATTTGATGATGTTGGAATTAAATTTTAAAGTCCCAAAATGAAGTAATTTTCTTAAGTGATATTGACCTATTTGAATCGCATTCAAAGAGATTTTGCATGAATTTTTTCCTATTTTAAATTTTTCAAGATAACAATCCAGGTGGATGTTCTATATTTTGTAATGAACAATAAATAAAATCAGATTTATCAAGACAATAGCACCTTTTTTCTCATTCCTCAATGACATACGGTTAATGTTCTTTTGTTCAATGTGAACTCGACCATGAACAATCTGTATATTTCCGCTCACTTCCCAATTTTTCTCATTAAATTGAATGCATTTTATTTTCATAACGACTTTCACTTCACATCAAATTGATTGTAAATTTAAGTGAATCCAAAACAAACCTTCAACTCTGAATAATTTGTGACTGAGACTATAGATGGTGCAATATTAATAGAGAATAGACAATAGACTGTAAGTTTCGTTGTACATTTTCAGTAAAAATTAAATTTTTGAATGGATTTTCTTCTTCTTAATGCTTCTGATAATCAATTCAACCACGAGAGCTGTGAATGCAGCCAAATGGCCCCACAATAGAATGAGCAGGGCTGGTTTAGTATCAATCAAACTTGCCGTAATAAAATTTCCTTGTGTTCCGACACAACGCGGTTTCCGAGTGTACATTCTCGTATTTTCCCTCTCAGATAGTCCATGCTCATGCATTCGCATCAATCTGAAATTTGTTTCAATTTTAAAACATTCGAAAAGCCTAGATTCATCAAAAAAAAAAATTACCCAATTTTAAAAAGTTCTTGAAACGATGAATTCTTTTTAATTGCATACCAAGGATCAGTAACTTGGAGGTAAGCAATTTCAACGAGGCCACATTTCTCATCTTCGAAAAATGTTTCACTCATCAATTTGTAGCCCAGTGCACGTTCCATATGAAATGCAAATAAGCCTTTTCTTATTCTTTGCACTCCTTCCTCCAAGCTCATAAAATTATCCTGCCCATTTTTCTTTAAAACCTTTTCCATGTATATTTTCTTTCTGATTGATTCTTCGGCATGCTAAAATTAAGTACAATTTATTTCTCGATCGTTAATAATATATCATAATTAATCTATAATCATTGATTGATCCATCAATTTACGGAAAAATAGTAACGATTGAAAACCGTATCATCCACGCCAATTTCAAGTCGAGATTCATATAAATCTTTAAGTGTTTTGATTCTGGTGGAGGGCGACTGAAGAAGCGCCACAATGTTTGCAGAGTAACTGGTGTAGAGAAACATTAATATAGTAAATGCAACAGCCATAATCATACGTCCAGCCGCGGATCGTGGAGTAAGCGCAGACCCTTGCTGACATACAGCTCCAAATATGACAAAAAAAATATCACCAATCGACGGTCCTAGATCGGAGGCAGAAGTCTTCTGGAATAGACAATATTGTTAATCTTAACCCGTTTGTGTCTGGTTAAAATTTTTGTTTCCATCTTCATTTTACTACTAATATTTATATTCTACATAGTCCTCGGAACAAAAAAAATGTATGACCATTTTTTTATCTGACGCCTAGGTTGGCCAGGAGCGGCCTCGATAGCAAAAAATTTGAAACCGATTCAGTGGAAGAGAAAAACGGTGAAAAAATTATTTTTTTCAAAATTTTGAAATTATATACGCTAACACATTCAAAAACACTAGACGACTGCAAAAAGAAATTTTCAAAAAAGTGAAAAATGTGAAAAATATAGCCATAAGTTGTTTTTGGCCAAAATGGAAATTTTTACAAATGGCCATTTTTCCACGTTTTTTTTTATTTTCTCTAACGGTGCTATAAAATCCACATTGATGCACATATTGAAGTGAAAATTTGATAGAAGTAAGATACATCCTTAACGAACACAAAACGTGTTTACAATCGATTATATGTGCACTGATTCACTTTTTACACAACTGAAAACAGACCTTCCATTTTGTGTTGCCATATGGCAACGCTAAGCACAAACGAGTTAAGATGATAAAGTATATAGTAAAATTCAACTCATACTCACCGCCTGCAAATAGGTTGCCACATATTTCCATTCGACAAAAACCGAAATGATCAAAAACACAGCTGTAACAATAACTAAAACGATAAGACAGTACCAAACGAAGTCATCGAATGGCAATAAAAATACGTTATCGGTATACGAGAGTTTCGGAGAACGAAATATGAAGCGAGAGCCCGTTTCAGTTGGTGAAGCGATATACTGAATTATAGGAACTCTTTCGACTGTCATGAATAAAGGCGATGCTCCCAATTCAGCTTCATGTCGCACCAGTTGACCAACCATTCCACTCCATTCATTATTATCGTCCTTGTAGCCCCATGACGGAACTATCGAATATTCGGCCGTTGCGTTTAGATATGACATCAAAAATTCAGTTAGAATATAATTCACCTTCGTTATTGGATCAGTTTGAATTTCACTTCAAGTAGATAAATTTATTAAGAAGAATCCGTCCAGCTGTTCATAATGATATTATTACCGGTAGTCTGAGAGGTGATTTAATGTATCATTATTCGTCACCACCATAGATGCTCTCAATTGTAAACCAAGCAAATTTTGTCGTCTTCGTGAGGTTATTTGTGTGCTGCGATAGTCAATAAACTGACCATTTTCAATGTTTCCAAACGATTCGACTATCAAAGGCATCGACACATCAACACGATAAATTTGTTGTACCATCATATTGTCTGGTGCATCTTGCACCATTTGCATATAATAAATTTCACTTTTTAGCGAAATCGATACATTTTGGAAAATATCCGAAAACCTGTTTTCTGTCTCCTGAAAATACAAAATTCAATACAATTCAAACAAATTGTGTTGCAAATATTCGAACGCACTGCTGTGAATTGCATATCCAATAAAAACCAATGATAATTCATGAGTTTATTTTCATTGTTGATCAAAATATTTTCAGCGCCGTGACATCGCCAATCGATTACAATAAACTCGTACTGTTCTTCAATTGAATCGGGCACATTTACAAAATCTGTATTTGTTACGACGAGTTGATAGTCCAAACCAAGTTCTGCACTATTGATGTTGTGGAAACTCGTGTAAAAACGAAAAATAAAGTCTACATAAATTGATGAAATGAAATCCGTTCCTCAAATTGATCTGTATACTACCTGAATTCCAACAAGCCATCACAGTTAAACGACCAGGCTTGGCAGTTGTTTTCACCAAAATCTTAACCAAATTAGCCAGATCTGATGCTTGTTCATTACTGGTGGATTGGCGTTCCGAGCTGAACGAAATAATCAGCAAGAGGCAGAGAACTGCACCAATATCCATGATTTGAGTCGAACGAATTTTCGATTGTGATACCAACCATTGATTCGTGTTTTCTTATATAGTATACTTTCAATGGCATATGCCTTAAAACAAACAAATTATTTCTTCATAGCTTCAAAACATAGGTTATATGCAATGTCTGAAGGAAAAAATTATTTCACATTGATTGAATGTGCAAATATTTGATTGTCGGTGATTTGTTGTTTGCATGGCAATTTCTTTGACTCGCAAAACAAATAGTGCGCTCAATTTTTTCCGAATTACTATTTATTTTTCGAATACGAAATGAACACGGAACGAGAGACAGCGTTCACTGCTGTGCAAGAGCAAAGGCCTATTCAGTGGAGAAGGTGGAATAAAACTCATTCCAATAATGACATACGAAAATCGAAATTGTTGCCAATATGAATGTCATCGATTCTATAAAAAATATGGCGCTTTAGCACAAAGTTAAAAACATCATTTGTATGGCAAACAATTGCAACGATTTCAAATTAAAATCGAAAAATCGCTCAAATTGTCTTTGTATAAACCTGAAAAGTTGCCGGATTTTATGCGAAATGTTGGTATAAGTAGTTTTGTATGTGTTTATTGTTGAATTAACTTGTTATTTACGATAAATTGTTGATAAAAGTAACGCGCATCAGTTTGTGATTCACAACGGGAAAATATCAACGTTATTATTTGTCCAAACAGAAGAAGAAGAGAGCAAAAAAAAAACGAATACCAAACAATAACGCCGAGAATGGATGGACGACATCCCCTCCCGAAGCCGATATCCATTTCGGATCCATTGATCATTCCACGTGTTAAACAGGTATTTTATTTACAACATATTGCAAATGCCTCCAAATATGTTTGTATCGGTCCTTGTACCATCGTTATGAATACGGTTAAGTTTGTTTGAGGTTATGCAAATGTATTTATACAGCTCAAGCATACAACAAATGATATTGACACACAAGCCCGAACGGCTTTCGGCGATGTGGACGATGAACAAACTAATTGGTGTTATTCGATTGATTTCAGTATTTAGAGGAAAATGTTCACCAAACGTATGTGGATGTTGGTGTAATGGCACGTCATCTACAGGAAAAATACCGCGAATACGGACGCCGAAAACATCAACCGTTTCGATACTTAGTTGACCAAGGTAGAAGCTAGTTTAAACATCGACATGGAACAAATATGATAACTTGATTTTGTTTTTGTGTTCATTTAGCTTACAAAACAGTACTACATAGTTACGGACTAGACAGTAATCCATCGACAGAAGAAGAAGAAAACTCCGACCTTGAGCTTATGGAGGTAAATTTATTTGCTTTTTTATAATCGATAATACGTTCATAAATTAATGTTCGGTTGATTTCCGTTGTAGGATCCACCCTTGCAAAGCAACCACATGAACAATATGCTGACCGACATGTATCGCACGAATGCAAACGAATCACGTGGACCAACCACACAAAACGATTTCCCCATCGATATTAGCAGCGACGAAAGTGATGTCGACGACACAGTACCGAAAAGTGCTAATAACGGTACGTGACATTTTTTTCATTACAAACACTTCCACGCCAAACCAATATGCCTCATTATGAACAGAAACAACAGAATACAATGCTAGAGCGTACAATCTCCATTCGCACATTTTCAGTAATGAAACATTCATGTTTTTTTTTTCAATAGGTCATGCTTCAAAAGAATTTTCAAAAGTACCAAAAGACATTGTTCTTGGTTCGATATCTAAAATTACGGCAGCCGCAGAAACATTGGCTGGTATTCGAGAAGAGAGCATGAAATCAAAAAGTGCTTTATCTACGACAGCACCATCAACCGCATTATCACCAGTTACGACAACGAAAAAGCGTAAGCTGGAGGCAATTTCATTTGACAGCGGATCAGATCGAAATGTTCCGCGACACCCAACGACTCGTCAAACGTCGAAAAAGTTCAAAAAAGAATTCACGGTCAAAAAGTCGGAATACACATTCGAGAGTATTGGTGGCATTGATAAAATCCTCAGGGAACTTTGTGAACTCTTGCTTCATGTCAACAATCCAAATGTTTATAAGCGCATCGGATTGCCCGCACCTCGAGGTTTTCTGCTTCATGGGCCACCGGGATCGGGAAAAACATTGCTTGCTCAGGCCATAGCTGGGGTTTGTAAATCATCGCTATAAAAATTATGCCCAAAAAAGCAAATAAAGAAATTAATGTGCATGGTTGTTTCGTAATATTAAAAGAGTCTGTGAACTGAAACGATCCCATGTGAAACGATCAAAGTAACCATTGAATTTAGTATATTCAAGCAAGAATTGACAAAAAAAACTATATTTTTTCCTTCTTACGCAGCAATTAAATGTTGGACTGATACAAGTGGCAGGCACAGAGCTTGTGTCGGGAGTTTCTGGTGAATCGGAAGAACGAATTCGTGACTTATTTGAACAGGCAGCTTTGTGCGCACCGTGTGTGTTGTTCATTGATGAAATAGACAGTATCTCAGCAAATCGCAAAAATGCATCGAAAGATATGGAACGTCGTATTGTAGCGCAATTATTAACGAGCTTAGATGATCTTCCGAAATTGGATGGAGGCGATCAAGTGCTAGTAATTGGCGCAACAAATCGTGCGGACAGCTTAGATCCATCAATACGACGAGTCGGACGTTTTGACCAGGAAATCTGTTTAGGTATACCAGATCGAGATGCACGCTGTGAAATTTTGCGGATAATTTGCAAAAGCCTTCGACTGGAGTCATTTTTCGACTTCGACTTGATTGCTTCACTGACTCCAGGTTTGTGTTTCATTCCATTTTTTTTTTTACATTTCTGCATAGATTATTATGTTCTGTAGCTAAAACATCATAATCAAAGAGTAGTGGCATTATTACTGAATCAAAAACCGAAAATCTTCCATTTCTTACACATAAAAGGTTTTGTTGGTGCGGATCTGCTAGCACTTGCAACACGCGCTGGACTGCTGGCAATCAAGAAACTATTACATGACAAACAGGAACATGCTCTGAAGGAAAGTGCCACAAAAGTTGATAAGCCGAGCTCTACGGTTACACCCGAAGTGAATGAAATGAATCTTGAAGATGGGATTTTTATGCAAATCGACAGCGAATTGCCACAACACAAGAACGACGAAGAAGAATCCGTAAACTCACCGTCGAATGCTGGGCCAATGGATGTAACGAATGCGAGTAAGGAAAAAGATGAGAACCAAGAAAATCCAGAAAATCAAAGCTCAAAAGTTGTACCTGATGCGAATACAGAGTCACACGTAAATCAAACGGACACATCGGTAAAATCCCTTGGAACAAATAATGCTAATGATGCGAAGAATGACGGAGTCGTTAAAAGTTCCGACGACTCGAATCCCAATGGAACGGAAGCCGATTCAGCAGTTAAAATGGATAATGGTGCTAACTTTCCAATGGTGGTTGAAACTACAAGTACAAATGAAACGCTTGGCGAAGCGTTGCTCAAAAATAACGCCATTAAAGACCGAATGGGTCTCGATGTTATGTTTAAATGGCTGAGCCATCAAGATAAGTTAGTTACCGAGGAAGATTTGAACGAACTTTATGTTACGGTCGACAATTTTAAAGAAGCCGTTAAATTGGTCCAACCGTCCGCTAAGCGTGAAGGATTTATAACGGTGCCAGATGTGACATGGGACGATATTGGCTCACTTCGGGATATACGCGAGGAATTGAATTTGGCCATATTAGCGCCAGTGAAATTCCCGAATCGTCTCAAGACATTGGGTATCAATGCACCATCAGGTGTTCTGCTGTGTGGGCCTCCTGGTAATGAATTTAATTGAGCAGCAATTCAATGCCTGTCTCTAACATTGATTCCAATCCTAAATCTAATTCCGTTTATTGTCATATAGGCTGTGGTAAAACACTGTTGGCGAAGGCAATTGCTAACGAAGCCGGTATTAATTTCATTTCGGTGAAGGGACCGGAATTGCTGAACATGTATGTGGGTGAAAGTGAGCGCGCTGTTCGACAATGTTTCCATCGTGGTCGTAACTCGGCACCGTGCGTAATATTCTTCGATGAATTTGATGCGCTTTGCCCAAAACGAAGTGGTGCAAGTGGTGACAGTCAAGCCAGAGTTGTCAATCAATTGCTTACCGAAATGGACGGCATTGAAGAGCGTAAGGGTGTCTTTATAATGGCAGCCTCAAATCGTCCCGATATGATTGATCCAGCCGTTCTTCGACCCGGCCGTCTCGATAAAATCCTCTATGTGGGACTACCCGAGAAACACGATCGATTTGAAATTCTTCAAGCACAAACGAAGGTAATTTTTATATTTACGTTGCGCTTTCTATCAGACATCTAACACAAAATGATGATGTTGCAGCAAGGAAAACAACCAATTCTGGATGACGATGTCAATTTAGAGGAACTTGCCCAACTCACGGATTCATTCACGGGTGCTGATCTTGCTGGCCTTGTTAGACAAGCATCTCTGCAGGCACTTCGTGATTCATTGAAATTTGAAACCACAAATGAAACGGAAATTGACTTAACCGTACATAAACAACACTTTATGTTGGCCTTGCAACACATGCGCCCGTCTGTTTCGACCGAGGTAAAATATCAATGCTTCCTTCTTGCATCACATTGCATTTCTCAAACAATAATTATGAATGAATATTTTAGGACAAAGTTCAATATGAATTACTGCGATTAAAATACGCATCCACTGCAGACAAATAGAACAAATGGAACACCCAATTTCGAATAACCACCTACATTACATACAACACAATGGACTTTCACACTAAATGGATAACATTTCTTTCCACAACAAATCCGTTTTTATGAATCATCATTTTTCAGTTCATTATGTGCCTGAAAAAAAAACCACATTCACACTCATAAAACAAGCAATGTATTTTAAATACGCTAAAATAAACCATTTTGAAGTAAATGCAAAAGAATTGGCTATGCTGCGAAGTACATATTGCTACAGATTCTCTATTTTCGTTCGATTTTTTGTACACTTCTGCATAAATCATGTTTTGTAGGAAGAAAAACAGAAATCAGTGAAAAATGTATACATAGTCATATGGCAAAACGTAGTGACAATCTAGACAAAATATTCATAACTGAATCAAAAAACCAATCTCTTATTTCATATACAAAAAAAGGCAAGAGATGGCATTGAAATCGTCCATCTCATAAACACAAGTATTTTTCACATTGTAAAAAAGAAACATGTTCACAAATATACGCAGCACAGATATATCTTATATAAGATTATCAACATTTATTTAAACAGTTTTGAATAATTTAACATCATTTCTCGACTATAATTTTACCGCGTTTCAGTGCCTCTTTTTTCCCAATCACTTTCAACTCTTCGCGTTGCATTTTCTTTTTCAGTCTTTCTGTGTCGTCTTCTGCGAAAAACCTAGGCCGGAAGTCATCTCTGATATTGTCTATGATTTCCAAATCATCTGTATTGGGTTCCTGGATTTTTTCATAAGTCAACAATCGTCTTGCGGCTATGGAACTAAGAACTTGCTCTGAATTTGCAATCAATTTTAGATATTTCGATTTTGGTATGCAACTGTCTGAATAATCGCTCCTATTTAAAAAAAAAAAGAAGGAAATTTGTATTCGTAATTTGATCGAATTGCTCTCCTTTGCATCTCTAATCAAAGTTTTTGCAATGTATTTTCTTACTTGTAAATTGGTATCCAGCAAACTAAACGTCCACCGATTCGCAGATGCTTAATGGCGAAGCGCAGAAGATCTGCATACAAAGTGGACAATTGATAATGCGATGTTGATGGATAGTGGACTACATCACCTGCTTCCGGGTTCAAGGGACGTCTTTCCTTTGTTTGGATTTTTTCTCTAGCTTCGCGTATTCCATAAGGCGCTGCAAATTATTATGATACATAATAAAATTATTATTTTTTTCAAATAAAAATTCCACTTACGATCAGTGATAATGCTATCGAACTGGATACTGTTGTGCCATATTGAGCTGGAAAAGTCCGAGACGAGAACATCCACATAACGATGCGCACAGTCATACTGCTTCAAATTGGATAAAATTGATTCATCTTCGTCACGCACCTGCAAATTTTCTTACAATGTCACCCAGGCTATTTGCATCATTCGGTTTGGTGTATTTGACAAGGTTTACCTTTTGTGTAACTCTTGAAGGCTTTGTTTTTGCATGGAGCATCAAATAGTCAATATCGGTGCCCATAACATATCCCCCAAATTTGGCTGCAGCCACCAAAAGCGATCCAGTGCCAACAAAAGGGTCAAATACTAAATCGCCGGGTTTAACTATTGCCTGATTGGCCATCAGCAAGCTGAGTGTGGGTTCCATTGAGGTGTTACCGATAAATTTTCTCGTTTTCAGTGATAAGTCATGGACAATTCCCCGTGATCCATCTGCCAACTTCATTCATACGATATCAATTTATATTGACTAAAAAATGGCTGAATATCAAATATGTATTTGGTTATACTAACCCATTTCCCGAAGAAAATCTGTTCTGGTTCTGGAGGTAGATTCATATTATCCGATCCATTATATTCGATGTAAAAATATTCACATTCTGGATCTTTAAGCTTCACATCACCTTCAAATGGCAAATACGCAATGGTTTCAATTTTGTCAACTTTCGTTTTTGGTTCAATGCGCTTGTTAAATGACTCGACTGTGATTCGAAAGGAGGCTGAACACGATTTTTTAAAATCTGGATTTTCCTTATTGATAGCAATATACTCTTTCAGCTGTTGGTGGAATGAATGGTAGGTTGAAGCGCTAGCCCAATGCTCAGCCACACACCGGATTGAAATCGAACGTGATACCAGTTGCAGAGCAGACTCATTCCCAGGCAATTCAATGACTAAAAATGGCTTGTTTATCTGATAACAAGAAAATAATTCTTCTTAGAATTTTTGATAAGGGGATTAGTGTCTTTACATGTCTTCACCTCTTCAAGAATATTTGGCGGTAGCCTATGTGGAATTTTGAACAATGTCAATAGCGACTGCAATTCCTTAAAATAAACAGTTGAAATTAAGTCACATCAATAATTAACTGAGTGCATTGATTTGATTTGATATTTACTGGATATCGAAAGCTAATGTGCGTCTGAGCAAACCACAAAATATATTTTTTCCAATCCATTTTAAATGCGCTCAACGGGACTGTGTTTGAACCACTAACAATGTGTTGACACACAGAAACTGCTATTGTCAAAACAAAAATCTCCATGTGTTTTTTTGAGGTTATGACAGCATGCGAATTGACACATATGAATTACTTCGACTATTTTGAATGTAGCCAAATTCGCGTTATTCACATTCACAAACCAGAAAGAATTGAAATTAAATTTTGTATGCAGATACTTACCTCTCCGGATAATACGCTGTCTATATCCCGATTGAATACAAAAATGAAACAAAATTTGTGTTTTTCAAACGTTTCAATAATCTATTTGTGTAAACTTTTCATCAAAATTGTTGTAGCTAAATAAATAAACATATATTCTACCAAAACATAAGTTCAAAACGTGTTAAGTTTAGGAATCAATCTTAGTGCCTTTCTATTATTATTACGTTGGACTCATTTTTTCTGTGCATATTTTGAAAATCTATTTGTATGAAAATATTTCCCAATTTCTCTCTTCCTACTTAGTAACATTTTATGGCTTTGTTTTATGAAAATATATCAATGATGAATAATAAATGTTAAAGTGTTTTTATTTTTCGTCGATTTATTCGTTCAAAGATTTTAAACATAATTTTTCTGATTCCATTAGACACAAATATTAGTGCAGGGCTTTATTTGTTCGAATCGTCTGGCAATGTTTTGCTTAAACATCATGGAAGTATAAAATATATATGTCAAATTCTAATATATATGAAATTAAAGAAATAATAAACTTAATCGCAATTAAAATCGTATAAAATAAGTCACTTTCATTTTAGGTGTTGAACATTAGTTCTCTATCATAAATGTACGGCAATGGAATCGTTATTTATGTAGGGATTTGTGGTTGAATTAGAGCCTAGCATATCGCTATCTGCAGTCATTTTTTGCGCGACATTCATATTTGATGTTTGGCGTTTCTGAATACTGTTGTCCGTTTGTGATTTTTGTTGCGCAAATGTCGGCAATGATTTCATCCATGCTGTATCTTCGTTATCGGGTGATGTGGATATATCAGCTATGATGCCACTCTCTGTATACGAAACAAATGAGATGGAAAAATATATACTTAAACATTGAAGTCAATGGTACAATTTGAAAATATTTGACTAACCCATTGATAATTGGCTGGCCAGTGTTGTTGATCGTTGATATTTTTTTGAATTGTTAACCGTTTTGAGGGGAAGCGTTTCATTGATCATGTCCAGTTCAATGCCCGGAGCCGCATTCCTTGTATTAGGGTTGCTGCTGCTGGACGATGTGCTGGCCGATGAACGACTTGTACTTGATGAAAATGATGAACCCAGCGAAATGATAGAGTTGGGCCGTTGCACCGCTTTTGTGCTTTCCGCCATTGATGACGAGAATGAGCTACGAAGTTTTGGAGCTGCAAAAAATATGCCTGAGTTATTATTGCTCTGCGATATGAATTTTATTGCTTACCTTTTTCCAGCTGTGAACGGCTGACGGAACGATCGTTTATTTGATTCTGGCTTGGCCGGATGTCCAAACATGGCTTATTCCCAATGCCCATCGATGACATTTCCTGCATGCGTATGTCACGATTTCGTTTCGCTTGTTTCCACAATAATTTGGAGATTTCTTCGGTCCACACTTTCTTGGTGTCCTCATTCATGCTTTGCAATGTCCACGTATCGTCTGGCTTCATCTTTCTGAACCAGATTTCGAACTTTGTCGTCGAGTCACAAACAAGCTCAGTTAAACCAATATCCGAGGTTTTTATGCTATTCTTATAAATATAAATGTCCAAGTTTTTACTGTCCGGAAAACGACGTGCTTTGCTGAACAAAACTAAGTCTTCGAATAGAAACACTTGACGCAATGATTTCTTTCCGCCTCTACCTTGCCACACCAGGAATTCATTTTGTCTCAGCAAACGACCTTGCTCTTTCACATTCACCTGGATAAAAACAAAGAAAATTGTAGCTATAATTCTTATTCCCAAAATATATGATGGATGAAAAAAAAACATACGTCACAATCGCGCAAAGAGTCCATGGCCAGCAGATCGTTTCCGTGTCGCAATTGAAAACGGACCATTTCTTCAGCTTTCTGAAGCTCTTCAATGTCTTCGGTTATTTCTTGTAAGGTCGGCCCTTGTATACTGGTAACTGCCTTCATTAGCTGTTGCAACAATAGTGCATATTTCCCCATTCGTTGTACTGGTTTGAGTAGATAAGATGCCAGGTCCATTTTATCACCAAGCTCCATTTGTTTGGCCTTTTGTGTGTTGATGTTAAGAAAAAAAGAAAGAAAAATTATTCCAAATTTCGATGCGGAAGTGAAATTATGTGTAGAATCCACCTTGAAAAATCTGGATCCATATTCGCTCATGAGGGCTTCACTTTTTGGCTTATTTTTATTGTACAGAGCATACAAATAGAATTTCGATTCATGCTCTAGAAATACGGCTCCAACTTTAAGCGGGTTATTTTCACATCGTTCCAACTCATGCAAAAAATATTGCTGATGAAATTCGCAAATTTTTTCAACATTGCCAAAGATAACGTTTCGTTGTCCTCTCAATGCTTGTGGAATATCCTCGCGATTCATTTCGTCCATGTAATTATCGATTATGTAGTGTAATGAACGCACGTAATCGCGTTCCGTTCCAATCATTTCTCGCATGATCAACAGAAGCGTCCTTTTCAATGGAATGAATGAAAGGAAGTTAAGTAAAGTAAAGTAAAACTATTCTATTAATAAGAGTGGCCAATGGCCATTGCAAACTAACTTTTGTGTTTTTGGCGCTAGGCCAATACTATTTTCCAGGTCTAATGCAATGTTGGATGAATAGCTGTAAAGGTGAGCGTTAGGTTTTAATGGTGACATTTGATAGTCAATTACACCTTTCATATTATTATCAAAGCAATCCTCTTCCATTTCATCACTGTTGTGACTTTTGTTGGTTGGCTCGTCGAAACTTTGACATGAACACGTGCGAACTAGTTTATCATTCATTTCACAACGATCACAACCGCCCAATCCACTATCGGCAATTTTAGAGTGGTCTTCATCTTCATCACCGATCATTTCGACCGATTTAGCGTCACGACTGTTGTGGAAACGCGCATCGGTCGGCCAACATGAGCAATTATCCGTAGTCTCTTTGAACGGTGTGCTAGTTTTATCAATTTTAGGGTTATTATCGTTTTTCGTCACACTTCGATATCGTTCGATTAGACTTAGTGCGCCAATTTTCTCGGCTAATCTCTGCATCTCTAGCTGTACGTCTTTCTCTTTAAATTCCAATCCGAGCAAATGATGGAGCCGCACCGCTCCTTCGACTCGTTCACGTATCGTTTCTAATCGATCGCTGTACTGGCTCAAATGTGTCTTAAGATCTGTACGCAATTCGCTTATACTCTCCAGATTCAGGGCGGCTTCTTCGAGGTCACGTCCTTTAGCCAAATACTTCTGCAAATGTAGCGAAACCAAAATATTGTTTAAAAAACATTGTGACAGTGCGGTCCCATGTGTATATCATACCATTGATATGAAATAAAATTTTTCAAAGTCATGTTCACAATCCTTAATCGATGTTTCCGAATCTAATGGCACGTCTGCATACCGTTTTAGCATACTTTCACCATCATTCTGTATCCATTTTGTAATCTGAAAGCGACACCAAACGAGACGAATAAAATACAATACAATAAAATAAATGAAGATAATAATAAATAAGAAATTCATCGAGTCGCTGCACTTTCGTTTCGTTTTGAGCGCTATTTTCCAATAAAACTGACGACTTGCCCGTTCAACAATTCACTGTTGATTTATTAATTTTGCCATCTATGGCAATCGCTCGTTTATCAATCTTACATTTAACGGTTAACACAATAATTATCAAGTTACTCATTTGAAGCGACACAAACACAACATAAATCATTGAATTAAATTTGTACGGCCTCGCGATTCTTTTAATTAACCATAGAAAATTGACAAGAATATGTTGTTATTACATTTGCTTTGTTGTCTTTCCCTTGCGAATGTGCGCAAACAATGCGCTACGCGTCAAATCGAAACATAGCATCCGATATATCAACGATTGATACACGAACAACGATTGAAAATACATGTTTTTTTTTCTCTTTTCTGTTTTTGGACAACAAGACACTGAACAAACGTTGACGATAATAATTCCAGCATTTTAACTGAGCTGCAAAATTTGTGTTTAACGTGGTTTTTTTTTTGCCAACACCGAACAAGGTGAAACGTTTAAAAGAAGGAAAAAAAAACAATGAACTTTGACGTTTTGGCGCTGTGTGTACATTTTTGATGTATGGTGAACAGTTAAAATTCAGTTAAACGGTGTTCATTAAAATTGGTCATTCGATTGTTGTTGTTGATGCTGTTGAGTTAAAAAGTGAAGAAAATTTGCTCTCAATTTTACCTCTTTCATTTCTTCTTCAAATGCTTTCTGTCGCGTAATTTCGCGTAACCTTTCACGTCGTTGTTCGGTCAGTTGTTCTAATCGCCTAGCAGCTCGATCCACTTCTCCGAATATCACCGTCACTTCCCTTAGTCGATGTGAAACGTGACGATTTGAATATTCAGCGATGAACGATGTCGATTCAGTGCTGGTCGTGTTGTTGTAAATTGTGCTGTATTTATCGTTGCTAGAAATGCTTTTCGCTAAACTTTGTAGGCGTGTCAGTGTTATTTGACCCTTTCGGGTCAAACATTGAAGCTCGGAATCCATAAGCGCACGACTCAGTGCACGGTGTTGTGAATACAGCTGTCGTCTTGACGGCATGCCCAAACTATCTGTCAGCCGAATTTCATTCATCACTGAGACCAAGTCTTGACCCACTGAAACGCAGGAAACTCGTAGTAATTCCAATGTGACGAAAAATTCTCGCCATAGCGCCTGATTATGAATATGCGTCCCGTTGCACATTGTTGGCGCACATTCGGGCGGAATGTGATCGAATAATTCGATGGCGTGAATAATCTGCAGATATGATGATTCGAATGAGCCTCGATTAGATTTTAAAAATTTAATTTTCTTCTTGAATATTTTATTTTTTCATTAAAATCAATCCATACCTTAATTTTGCTTAATGGCAACTGGAGTTGTAGTTTATCGGTTGTGTATAATGTTGAAACCAACACGTTGTCAATGTGGACATGGCCGGTGATTAGATTGAATGCGTTGTCTAACAAATTTAGTGCGGACAATTGATCGCTTTCTGATGCGATCACGTGGAGTGTGAATTTTGATGGACTGAATAAACAAACAAAATATAAATAAATCAAAATCAAAATCAGAATGAGGTACAATTTCTAAGCATATTTGCTTTTCCAATACGATCTTTTTCTCATTTAATTTCATAAGCATGATTGAATCAAAAAGGCGATGATCCTTATTGTGATTTTTTCAACGCGAAAAGTTTACTTTTCACTAGAGAATCTAAACAAAATGTAATTTTTACGATAGTTTTATACGAAAAAAAAAAAATTCATCTCAATTGAAAATCTTAAGCGTTAATAAAACTTACTTGGTCGGTATCGTATTATAGTAAAGCATTAATGTGGCGACTTCGTAACAGTTCAATCCCGAGTCCATTAGAATTTTAGTCTCAATGGTTATTATGGGAAATCCATTAATGTCGTGAGTGTCTGGAAAATTAAAGGATTTTATGAAGGCTCTTTTTGATTTTAAATGATGAGAATAAAATATCAACTGTGGAGGAATTGATGTCTGTATGGCTTTCGTCTCAACTGAGCTACCGGCACATTTTATTTTTCTTTCATTCGAGAGATTATCAAGATTGCATAAATATATACACAGTCATGACTCATGAGATAAAATATCAACAACAACAGCAAAAAATGTCGTCTTTTCCTCCGACAATGGGCGCACCTATTTCTCTGTATTTCATATAAAATTAATCTGCACATTCTTTGTGTCGCTACACCAAGCATTGTGTTCAATGTGGAATTGACACTAAACCATTTTCCAACAGAAAACTTAATATAAATTGATACAAAATTATATTATCACGCCGAGGGAAAAGGGAATGCTGCAGAAACAATAACAGTGAACTGAGAGTGAGACACTTACAAGAGTTTGTTTTTGGCAGAATCAAGGGAGCATAAAAGAGCTCGAACGAAAATGATTAAATGTGTTTTTTTTTTACTTAGAATTCCGAACAAAGATAAGACACTGTATGCATTACACGTTTTTTTTTCGCAAAATAAAATACACAAAGTACGTGTCATTTCACCATGATATGCACCATGATGTGAAGAAGTACATTTAAAGATTGTTTTTTCCACAGTCGACCAGTCTACAGCTGTCAAAAATCGGTGTTTTATTAATATGTTAATAAACAGCATATTTTAATAATTAATAAAAATTTTGAAACACCATATTTATTAACGTTAATAAATATAGTGCATTTTATTAACATATTAATAATTATAAGTATGGTGAATTTTCGGTTATTAATATGTTGTCGATTTTATTAGAATTCTAATAAAATCGACAACATATTGGATTTTATCCGATTTTATCAACGGACGACATCATGTTTAGATTAAGACAATCATTCATCACGACAAAATCTCAAAGAAAAACGAGTCTGGAAATATTCGACATTTTTTTTGTATGAAACTTTTCTTCACAATTTTTTTGAAAAGTTAACCGAAAATTCACCACACTAATAATAATTAATATGTTAATAAAATGCACTATATTTTATTAACGTTAATAAAAAATTCATTTTATTAAAAAATTAATAAATTATTAATATGTTAATAAAGTGACAGCTGTAGACCAGTCTGGCAATGCATGGAATATGGAAAATACAAACGAAAAAAAAAAATGTAAATACAATAAGTAAATCGTCTGAAAACGGTGCAAAATAAATTCTGTTGATACCAACGTATAATTTGCACTCAAATGACTCTTTGAAAATCGGTTTCCGAAATCGTGACATGCAATTTGCAATCACCAAAATAAGTGAACAAATTAATCCTTTCTTATTTCAGTTTTATTTTCTTTTCTATGCGATTTTATCTCGCTCTCGATTCCATCACACATTTTGCTCGAGTTTTCTCCACCATTTTTTTGTTATTGTCGAAATGACTCAATATCTCATACATCCGTTCGGTGTGTTTGTCTTGTGCTGACGGTTAATAATAATCTTACCTGATAAATATACTCCAGACGTTAGCAATTTTTCAGGCAAATCTGTTATTGACCTGGGGGCCACTATGTCATGATGGCAAGCTTCTGTAATGTAAACGAAACGACAAGCAGAACGTCAAAAAGAAGTTGAATAAAATATAAATTAAATAGATATGGATGTGGTTGTGTTCACATTGAGAACATTTCAGCGTCTCTAAAAGAAGCATTTCTGGTGCAGTATCTACAACGAACATTTGGACTAAGGCACATGCTGTACACATTGGACATATTGTTCAATTTAAACGCGGATCTATTACATTTGACTTGCAAATTTTAACATTGAGATTTGGGTTTCGAAAATATGTAGACCACTTCTATTACTTTAGTAAACTATATGTGTGTGCCCGATTTTTCTGTTCTACTTACTTACTTCGCATACATTATGCGATCTATATATTATATTTCTATGTGGAAGCGTTAAATAAAAGTGGTAATTTCGAGAGTAGCATGCAAGATTCTTGGCATATTGCTGCGATTTAGCCATGTTCGTTTCTCTAGTTTTTCTTCGTTCTGTACAATTCCATACGTGGGAATAATATTATATGCAAATGAGTATAGCGAAAGAAACTGCATCAAATCTTATTATAATAATTTATCGAGTTATATGAGCTAGGCCCATGGAGATAGATAGATAACATGATCCATATCTATGCTTGAAAATTACAAAAACTTACGATCGTTAGGTGATTTCGTTACATCGTCACCGCTATCTTCATCACTGTCGATATGTGGAAACGATAATGATCCGCCCAAGCAAAATAATGGCATCATATTGTTCGATGTAGTGATGTTGGTTGTAGTTGTCGGTGACGAAGGTAGTGCTGATACATCAGTAGCTTCTTTATTGTCATGTTTATCTGAATTGGATTTAACGGACATTCGCCGCAGTGTGTAACGATTTTGAAGGGGTTTATTTTTCGTAATATTTTCGCGTCGTTTGATCGAACCACATTTGGGCGAAATCGGTACATCATCCAATTTTTGTCCAGACGTAATATCATTCGTTTTATGATTTTCGATTTCATCTTCGTCCGCGTTCTTCGGAAATGCCAATTCATCAAACGGAACCCGACTGATACGGCTGACGGTCTGCTCGACGCTAACCAAAAGTGATTGCAGCAACTGAGGTAAGTCTTCGGTCAGCATTTCCAATGAAATTGAAGTCAGTACGTCTTTCTTGATACACAATTCTTCATACACAACTCTTTGCGTTTTGAACGATCGCCAAACGGCACATAAAGCTACGTGACCCTTTTTACCACGGCCTGGTTTTATGCATAAATAAATGTCGGTCGGTTTTAAAATCGCTTCACTTAATGTGCCCAACTGCAGAATCACTTTTCCGTCGATGGCAAGTGGCCAACCGTCTACGCATACTGTTTTCTGTAATCAGAAGGAAAAAAGACAAACATTGTACGTGAAAATAGAACGAAATAAATTCTCTTAAACATAATGTAAAATAAACATATTTGGAATCAAAGGCAAAAGAATGAAAAATAAAATATTGTTTATGAAACAACGAGCCAACGTGAGCTACTCACGGAGTAGGGTGAGTGTGAGCATGAAAAAAAATGATGACCCAACATTAAATAAAAAACGAATTAAAAACGACAAATAATATTGTTAAGTGAAGAATGACGTCAAACGATGTGGTTTTAATGGTTTTTCATAGTACAATTAATGGATCCCCCTCATAAAGTGCGCTATTGATATTTTTGTTCGGTTAAACAAACAATCTCTTCCAGATGTTTGAAATAAAAAGACACGAAACGAGAGAAAACACTAGAACTTGACACTACTAGGGGTCCAGTGTTTATTATATGATGCTACCGTAGAAAATACAAATTGAATTTTACGAGGAAACATCAAAACATGGGAACGTAGTTTTAATTGCAAATTCGATTTTTTTTTCTAGTTCTCGCTACACATTCATTGTGATAGTGATTGGGAATGTGATGTGATGTGATGTGATGGGACGAGCCGAGCCCATTTCGACCGAACGATTGGAGATAGGGTAATTTTGATGGCGTGTCTGAATTGAAAGCGAACGAACGCGCGATTAATCCATAACATATGCGCATTAAAAAGACAATAAAAAGCGTTCATACGGAAAGTGCATTTACTTTTATCCCTGTGATTGTGTGTACCGCAAACATGTCGGATGCCTCATGAATAGGGGATCTTTTGTTATATTATTACCATTGTTATTTGTTGTAAAACCATTTATTGTTTAATGCTGTGCGGTATGGCTTAGCTCGGTTTCAACGGTTGTGCATTTTGTATGTCAAGCCTAGGCAAATCAGTCATTGAACGGTTTTTTATTTCATTTTCATTCATATTAGCATTTCTATTTTGAGCGTGTGTTTTTAGTGCACACATCAAATGCCCTACAATATTTTGTTTATCTTGGCGATAAAAATTTAACTCATTTTTCGCAACATAATTAATTTAACACTTTGCAACTTTTCACATCGCAATTCACAATAAAAAAAAAATAAGTGTACAGTGTTCATAAAAGCATACAGAGACGGATGCATGCCAATAGCACTCAAATAGCTACGTATGGAGTATGGAGTGAATATTTGCATCATACCCACGAAAAAATATCGTACTCAAAGTAAAAGCACCATACAATACCACATCTGCATCGTACTTTCATATTCCGTGCAACAATTATAGTCACCATCAGAAATTGTATGTGCATGTAATGAGCGCACTTAGGTTTGTCTGATTGATATCGATTTACATGTAATCAGATATCTTATCTTGTGAAGGCCCGAGCCTTTTATCATGTGCATGAATACAATACAATACAAAACAAAATTGTTGCTTTAGATTTAGGACTCAAAAGTATTGTCGGCAGCAGAGTCGCATTCAATGTAACGTAAATGATCCAGTCTACTAAAGCAGTTGATAAATTGTATCAATGATAATGAGTTGCAATGGCAGTCAAAAGAGAAAAAAAAAATAATTCATTGTTATCGTAAAGCCATAATAAATAAAACTGTCATTCCTGCCAAAATGTTGGCTCGCCACGATTTACAACACCGCCGTATTCAACTTCAATTATAACTTCACTGTCAAACATAATTAGCAGAAGAAAAAAACATTAACTCTCACTCTTATGGAAGCTCAATTAATCGAATAAGTAAAATTTCTTAAATTTTCTGCATGTTTTCCATGTCTTTTACGATATCAAGAAACGATTAATTTGTTGTACGTATAAGAATTTACTTGGTGCAAAACAGTGCAAATTGCAATACAACGTAATTTTTCTTGATTCCATTTGAATACCATTTGACTATAATCGTTCAAAGTTGAAAACCAAGCGAACCCTTAAGATCCAACAATTTCACACACCCCAAAAATTTATAGTTGCAAAAAATGAGATTGATTACATGTCGCTTGTGCCAAGGCACCAAATTTCAAATTTGATCAATTCATATTTTCTAGTTGTGTATGACATTTTGCCTACAAAGTGACACACATTGTCATTAATTATTGCAATACATTTCATAAGACAATATCTTAATCGAAACCGAATCCTTCGAATCATAAATAGGTTGTACAAATATTTGTTTGAAAACTTACGTACATATATAACAAAAGTTCAAACAACGTAAAAACATATCACTATAGTGACAAAGGCCACCCATACATTCCGTGCAAACATGTAACCTGTCAACCGTCATACACTCATTCAGCATTCGATTTGTGTTATACAATTTTTGCGAAATTTTTTTTTCTTTATATTTTTAGGAAATATGATAAAACCGCAAGAATTTGATTTATTTATTGACATAAATTCCGTCGAGTGCCGGCTTAATTGTGAGTCAAATATAACGACAATATCGTTAGAAGGGTGGTGTTTATTATGTACATTGCAAAAATGCTATATTACACTTGTCACCGTTTTTCCTTCACAGCATTAATCTTGTTATGGTGTTTTTTTTTTCTTTGTCACTTATGATTGCGCACGAAATCAATAAAAGTCAATGGCAACTGACAAATACAAATCGACACGTAACAAAAAAGACACAATACACAATATGCGTACGTTACACATAGCGTGTGCATTATCAAAATCAATCCCATTAAATTTGTGCAAAATGTACACCAGTTTTTGTTTGGCGTTATATTTATGTAAATTTCTCGTGATTTCTTGTAAGCAACAGTCTATTTGTCAGGTCGTCACATGCCATTTGCTACCACGTTAATCGAACTTCAAATGATCAGCTTTCGGATAGAAAAAAAAAATTGCGACCAATTTTCAAAGAAGAAATTTGAAAAACAAATTTTTGACAAGCATATTTCAAACATTCACTCGATCGATTTCCTGCCAAAATTTTGAAAAAATTTCTCCGTAGTGAGTGGGTTAATGAATTTAATCGTTCATATCCCACTCTAAATTTGATGCTTTCGTTTGCAGCCCATATTAATTTCATCTGCAATTTGAATCATCACATCAATGTTATACAGAGTGCATTTCTTTCTTCTTCTGTTTTCAGATGGAAATTCGACGGAGTACTCCGATGGAAATTTTAGTAATTACATATATTTACCTATTTACTTATCGGGTTATGATCTATTGACTCAAAGCAAATTACCACCTGCAACTAGTCGGAATCGACTATTCACCAGTTTTGCACTGAAATACCAGTCATTCTTCCTTAACAGTTTATTTTGTCTACGTTATATTTTCGCTGCACCTTAATATGCTCATTCGTCTGTATAGTATGTGATCCATATGGTTGTGCTCATGTGGTATTTATCTGAGCTTGATTCAGATACAAAGATTTGAAGCGAGTCTTAATGATCGTTAAGACGGCAAAAGAAATGACAACACAAAAAAAAAATGCATACGTCAAACGTGATAGAATTTGTGTGAATCAATTGAGTATATTCAGAGTCGGTCTTCAACGCGTGTGTGCTCCGCATCATTATTAAAAAGCATGTCGGTGCATTGTGCATTGCCGAACGAAAAGAAAAACACAACCATGCATATACGCATATCCATGAGCAAAGCCAAGGCTAACAGTATTGCAATGATGGATTTTTGCTATTTATAAGCGAATTTTCAAACGGCCTCCTATGCAAGGGTATTTCATCGAGTCACTTGCCACAATCTGTGAATAAATGGAGTATAAATATGATTGGCGTTATATGATTGGTATGCGGAGACAAGCTCACAATTTTATTTGCGCTATTACATGCCTCTCTTGTGCATGGGCATTTCTCAACTGTGTGTATCCAATTTTAATTTTTGCTGATAGACACCACCACACGAATTGCTGGCAAAGTAAGTACTTGTGGAAAATATGCACATTTTTCGATGGTCGATTGGTAGCTGAGGTCAAGTAAATATATCTGCAAAGCATGCTTGACGAAACGGAACCTATGCGTTCTTTTTTCTGCAGCAAGTGAAATTAAATAATTTCATTTCTTCAAAAACACGCAATGAATAAAATGTTATTAGCTGCGATTGCCCGCCTTGCACTGATCATTTTCGAGCATTGTTTTTCTCTAGTTATATCGAGTTCTCTTTTTTTCTAGACAAAATTGTAGATTCCATTTTAAATAAGGTGTGCAAATCAGCATAATCATATGTATGTTGGCGACGTGTGTATGCGGCGGTAATTCTTTACAACTCGATAGCTGCTTTTTATATCAACAGTAACAGCGACAATGCAAATGAAAATGAAAACGAAAAGGAATGTCCAACAAATCAAAATAAATACTCAATTTGAGCTACTACTTTATCGAATCAAACATCATCTTGTTATTTCCTTTACGGCGACAACGAAAGTCACATATAGATGTTATACCATGCGGCTGTGAGCACACAAACCATACTGAAAACGCACAAAGACTTACTAAGATCGTGATCATTTCTTTTTCACTGTCTGTTTTCATTTATCGTGGAATAAGTATGCACGACACTTTTTGATCGGCGCGCCGTCGATCGTGTGTGTGTGTGTGTGTGTGTATGTGATTGTGAATTGAACGGAAACTGAATTTGGTATGCTCGTATCGTTCTCTGGAATGAATAAGATATTGATTTTATTGGAAGTTGTAATAATAATGGAGTATAATCTTTTTTTCTTCTCATTTTCGCTTTCGTTTACAATATCCAGAATGTGTTTCGAATGAAGTAAAGTGAAGTAAAGTGTTTGCCGCAGACACAATTCACCGTGCAGAAAATTACCAGAAAAATGATATAAAATGCAAGCGAAAGAAAGGAAGCACAAGCACAATCGAAAGCAAAACAATGTTTCATGTGAGTATATATTCGAAATATAGCCACAAGTCAGTCAGTCTCGTACGAGAGCAAAAGAAGCTCGGGTGAAATGACAGAATTAAAACTGTAATAAACGACAATCAAT